AAATGGAAAGTCAAACTACACACGTCTCATGATTTCCATTTATAACTGCATGAGCAGGAAACATCTATTTAGGTATGTTTTGATCCTGATATTACAAGACTTCAAACCGAGTCCCTATCCCCTGTCTGCCTTGACTGTGTATTTATTATACATGGTTCTGGATGGAAGACTTCTCCAGCGTAGGAAAGTAAAAATTCTAGCATCTCAAAAGGCCTCCGTGGTATGTGTCAAGGCAGCAGCAGTTCTGTGTCTCACCCAACACAGGAGTCTGAAGATAAAAACAAATGAAAGAAAGAAACACAAATTTCAGTTCTATTCAGAAGCAATTCAAATGCATTGTAAAGACTTTGATTTATGGCTCTTCCCTTTCATATGTATCTCAGGGTCGACTTTCATGTTCCATTTCTGACATCACAGATAGAATATTGAGATACTGAGATACGTTTGGCCCTGGACAGGAGAGGTTATGAGGAAAGAATTTCTACAAAAGCAAGTCGATACCTGCTTTCTTCTCACTGTGGTACGAAGATGGAAAAGAGCTGGAAAAGTTCTACGGGAGAAGAGAGATGCTGTTTCTCCACACACTGGCTCTCCCTGGATGGCACTGATACTAAAATAACCAACACTCCTGTTGTACCCCAATCTGGATTTAGAAAAACTGGACTCTTCAGCAACTGAGCAAAATTGCCACTAATCAGCCTTCTTTTTTAAAAAATCATTCTCACAAGCTTATGGATCAAAGCTGTGTGTTTAAAAAAGAAAAAAAGTCTATCAGGGAAATAGCACAAATGAAAAGATGGCTGAATTCACCTATCAAACCTTCAAAAGGGACTCTCAATTAGCAGTAACACCTCCAGTCCCTTCTCTCAGTCATGAAGAATTGAGGAGGAATGCTTAAACCACAGTCTCAATGCACAGAGACCAAACTAAAAAGGGCCCTGAAAATAGCCTTGCCAATTTACGCCCACTCCCCCCCCCCTTTATTAGGACCATGAAGTGCAACGTTAAGTGTCTGAAGAGCAAAATTGTACAGTATAATTGATTAAAGCAGAAAAGTCTCATAATCCCGTATTAAGGCCAAAGGAAATCAAAACACACTCGGGATGTAGCATGTACTCATAAAAAAGCTTTCACTTGGATTTCATAAGAAATATCGATCTTGAGCTCTCAGACTTCTCACTTTGGCTACCAAGCATGATTGGAGTCAGTACCTTCTATGTTGGAATGTTTTGACTCACATAGACAGAACACAATGTATATAAATAACTTTATTTAAACAAATTATTTGAGGCTGCTTATGTGGTAGGAAGCTACCAAAAGGATCCTCTTTTAGGGGATGAAAACCTCGAAAAGAATAGCAAAATAGTCGATTTGACCAATAGGTCTCTTTAAAATTACCATAAGTCTAACTAGGTAAAGTTTTTAAATAGACTGGATTAAAACTCCCTCCCTACCATGGTTAAACATTAATGCTACATCCTACCTTTATTTCTTCTCTAAATATGCTACTGAATATTTGTGATCTTATTCACAGAAATTAACTTTCCAAATATAACCTCTCAAGTAACGCATTTGTCTGTAGTATTTGAATTTAGCTCTTTGTCTTTAATATTTGAATTTAGCCAATGACTCTGATCTATTACCTGTTAAACAGTGCTTTCAGCTTAGTAAAAAATTCAAGTTGTCTAACACAAGTCACATTTGCATTGGTACCATTCTATGTATGTACTTCAAATCTGAAAACACAATTCAGTGCACTGTACAAGGAAAAGGCTGATGGCACACTGGTCAGATCCACAGCTCCTTTATTCTCTGCAGTGACTTTCCATTGACTTAAGAAACTTGCAAAATAGCCTACATCATCAGACACTAAAATGCTTCAAAGATGTCTTTTTGGTGAAATAATCTCCCAGTGGCAATATATTTGAGATATTTCTTTTTAAAGAATCTGAAATGCAGGCAAGTATCTGGCAAGTAGGAACCCAAGAATCCCAGTTAACACTGAAGAAACTTTTGGGTTAACTCAGGGACTAAACAGTAGAACATGGCAACAGAACAGTTTCACTCTTTTTTCCTCCTGCTTTGCAAAGCCAATCTTTCTTTACCTTTAATCCTACAGAAAATTAAAACAGTCCTCTGAAACTGGGCCTTCCCCACAGCTGTTAATTCCAAAAATCCTATTATCCATGAGCAAGTGTGTTATTCTCTGTAAACCAGCTTCTTCCACCCTGAAGAGCTGGGCTGTCTTTATAGGCAGAAACCTTCTGACTGGTCTAAGATGAACACAAAGCTATTCTTTCTAGAAGGCTTGAGATGTTCAGTTCAAGAGCAAAGATCCTGGCCATTAAAGAACTTGCAGGTTAGTCTTGAATAAACAGAGAATCAGCCTTAATCATGTTCAAATGTTACAACACAATCCAAGACTTTCCTTAAAAGAAAAAGAAAAAACCTACTAAACCATGGAGGTAGGAGCTGAGAAAAGGGAATTTCTCTCCCAGAAACTTTTGTGACATAATCAAAACAAGTGAAAATATGAATGCCAGGGATCTAGGCCATTCTCAGCATACAGTAGCAACGCTGACAATCTCGCAAGTGAAATCTGAATTTCCTTTTGTTAATCATCTTACAGTTTTGGCTGAAAAATATTAAACTATTCTTTTCCTTTAAATTAGCATATAATCTACCTATTTAAACTCACTCTTCATGGAAACTACCTAATGTACCTTTCATTAGAATTTCCCTTGTTGGGATATGCAAACCAGGTCAATTTCTGCTGGATTTGACACATTTGGGGTACACACCTTAATTCCACTTCTTGTCAATGGTTTCAAAATGAAAAAGAGCTGGACTTCAGATATATATAAAACACATACGGCTTATATGTCTATGAGAACATTAACACCATTTACAGATTTTCCCCTTTTCCTTAGGGCTGAGAGTGCTGTCAATAGTCATTACTTATTAAACAGGCTGCCATTCCCTTCTACAGAATGTTAGGAAGAGAGCATGGAGGGGTAGAAATAATCACCTCGGGCTTTTCTTTAAAGACCTCCAGAATAGAGCAATGCAAAGAAATCAATTGAGAAAGAGAAAGAACATGAAATACCCACACCATGTGCCGGCACCCCCTTCTCTCTCTCTCTCTACACACACACACACACACACACACACACACACACACGCGCGCGCACACGGTTGGGAAGTATACCCACACTCCATTATTCATATCAACTGCATCAAAACAGGAGATCAAAAATCTGATCTCCACCAAATATGCTCACAGTCACTTGTGAAACCTTTATTTTTCCACAACACTCCAGCTAAATGTGTTGAGAGTAGACTCTCAACATCTCCTGAGAAAATGGGGCTCTCGAAAATGACTGCTGAAGCCAAAGGAGAGAGAAGCGGCAAGTTACTGGCTCTCCTGCCATTGTGGTTTCTGTTAGATTCCTTCCTTCCTCTCTCCTGCCTGTCTCCCAGTGTATCTCCTTCTAGTCTGTTTTTTTTTTTCAAAGCAGAGTAGGGGTTTTTTCCTGCCCCTCTCCTGAACTTACTTACACATACACTAAATCCTTGTTTAGAAGTCTGAAGGGTTAAATAACACCCAGGGTAAAAATCACAGGTCAGGGATATGAAAATTACCAGATGACTGACTGTAAGCAAACCTGGTGTGTATTCCTGCCAGCACCATTAACACTGAAGAATTAATGAGGAGCCTTCTCCCTTTCTCCCATACAGTATGGCTCAAAACATAAATACAACATAAAGACAACATAACCAGACAGTTTTTGCCAAACAGCCTTGCAAACAACTTGACCCTGGTAGGCTGGGGTTTGTCCTAAATAACCTTCACAGGTTGCACAAACTGCTCCCATGTCCTGATCAGATCAGATTAAGAAGGTTCCTGAGATTGCCCTAGAATAAGAACAAGGTAGGGGGTGGGAGGCCAATTAGTCATCTGAAACATTTATAAAAATGTAGAGAAAACACACACCTCCTATATAAATAAATAGAAAGCTATCATGCTTGGGGTAAACAAGCCAATACTGGCACCGATTGAGCCCACGCTGAAGGTGCTACATTCAAAGGGTGACATGTTTCCAAAAGGCTGGTTCTTCTCACACTTGGAGACAGAGACTCTGTCCTGACCCCCCTGTATTTTTCAGGCACAGAGGGAGAGGAGACAAGGTTCACACCCCACCTTTGGGAAAGAAACAAAAGCAAAGGCTTGGTAGAGCTGGAAAAACTCCTTCGTCAGGACCCTGGAGGTGGCAGCTCTGCAGGGCTCCCTTCGTGATTCCTCCTAGTTAACTCACTCTGGGCGGACACGGAATCAATTTCCACACCTTGGAATGGCCACGGACAGGCTGGGGGACGATCACTTTAGCCCTGCCATGGATCCACTACCTCTCCCGATGGCTTCTAATTAACCCTTCCTGGTCCCCACTCCGGTCAGGGCTGCTAGAAGCGTCCTCGACTACAGTGTACCAGTATCTCCACCGAATGGGTTCCCCACACACGGACATAACTTCCTTTGTGGTTTATCCTGGGTCAATTCGTATGTGCTTTCTTCCCTTCCTAGGGGCGGGGAAGGGACTCAGCGCATTCGGGAAGGCCCTCCCTCCCTCCCCAGCCCTCCTCTAGAACGGGATCCGGGAGCTCGCCAGCAGGTCTGCAGTAGGAAGGATCGCGCTCGCCTTAACCCTTTGCAGGAGTTCGGCGATCTGTTCTTATTTGGGACCCGATGAAGTAGGGTGCTCGGAGCCTGACAATGTCTCTCCCCTACCTACCAGCCCCACCTCCCCTCCCAACACGACCAGAACAGACTGGCTCCTTCCCCCCTCCACCTTGTGACCAGTTTTAACTAGCTCTCACTCTGTGCCCCAAACCTGGGAAGGAGGAGGGGGCTTTGCTAAAAGGAAGACGGCGAGAGGAAAAGACAGCAATAGGGCAGGGAGGAAACTCAATAGTGAATGATAGTTGAGACAGTGTTTACTTACGAAATCTGGGGCTGGTGCTAGTTTCTGGTGTGGTGGTGGTAGAGGAGGAAGAATAGGAAGAGGAGGAGGAGGTGGCAGCATCCTGGAAGGGAGACAGGGTCCAGGAGGGGGTAGAATCATGAAGGTAGGAGGAGGTAGCGTATGCCGCAGTGGGCCAGGAGGGCATTGCCTGGGTACTGAGGGTTCCTGGCACCGGGGGCCGGGAGCCCGGCGTGCTGCTACTGAAGAAAGGGGTCGTGGTGGACAGGACCGTCGAGGGGGCCGCAGTGTTCCGTGCTGTGGTGGAGCGCGGGCTGGCCCTGATGGGCACCCGGTGCCCGGGGAAGCGAGTGGGCGCTCGCGTGATGGTGGTCAGGCGGGTACTAATCCGGTTGGGCGTCCTGGAGGAGGCGGCGCCGGCGGCGGAGGGGGTAGCAGGGGATGTGGTGGAAGTGGTCGCGGTCGTAGTCTCCATGGCCTTGGGGAAAGAGCTGGGCTTGGAGAGGAAGAAGGGGTCCTGGCCCATCCCCTTGGAGTCCACCAGGTCGGTGGGCACGTACTCCTTGACGGAGCCCACCACGATCCATTTGAGGAGCATGAGGCTGAGCCCCAGGCCGATGAAACCGATAAACAGTGGTACCACGCACAGCCACGTCTGCTGCCGGTTCCACACGATGCAGTCGCTACAGCGTAACTCCCGGGGGGGCTCGGCCGCCCCTTCGCCGCCGCCGTCCGGGCCCCCGCCC